CCCACAGGCCCCTGTTATCATCCACCCTCTAGTCACTTCGTTCTTCACATTGCTCAAGCTGATACCACATTCTAGACACAAAGTTCTCTGTTGAGCATTTTTTTTTTTTTTTTTTTAATCCTCACCTGAGGATATTTTTCCATTTTTTGTACAGATAGAGCGGGAGGGAGAGAGAGGAAGGGAGAGAGAGAGAGAAACATCGACGTGAAGGGACACATCGAGTGGCTGCCACCCGCACGACCAACCAGGGCCGGGGACAAACTGCAACCGAAGTACGTGCCCTTAGCGGGAACCGAACCCAGGTCTCTCCGGACCTCAGGCCGACGCTTTAACCGCTGAGCCAAACTGGCCAGGGCTCTGTTGAGCATTTTTAAAAGCATTCTCATTAAATCTGTTTTCTAAAAAAAAAAAAAAAAAAAAAAAAAAAAAAAAAGAGGTCAACTTCAAAAAAATAAAAATTAGGTCAGATATTTTAAAAATATATTTCTCTTTCCTCCATTGTGGGCAGTTCCACCCTTTTCCTTCTTCTCGCCAGCCCCGTCCCTCTCGTAGGCCTCTGGGTGGTGGACAGCTTCCTATGCTTGGGATGTGGCTACACACCCAAAACAATCTTGAACTTGGACTGGCAATCTAGACTCCTCTGACTCAGGGCCACTAAGCTGGTTAACAAATAAAGCCCCAACCCCATTCTGGAGCCCTCCAGAAGCTTCTAGCATCACCTGCTAAATGGCATTAACCTTCCAGACCCCAGTGACAAGTGACGTCCTAGCCCCATGGCCCTCAGCCTCAAAGCCATCATACACTACCAACCCAGCTGCACTGTTTTCCCAGACAAAAAAAAGGAAAATAGGAAGTTGGTGGGGGGTGGCCTGACTTCTTGTCTGAAGTCTCTCCACCGAGATACGGTACCCCACCTCTCCGGCTAGGAACACGGCCTTAACAGACTAAGAACCTGGACCAGGGCTCCCTAGGCCAGCACACTGGAGACAGAGGCTTGGAACCCCTGCCAGCTAACCCATCTCTGCTCTAGGGAAAGGTGCAGATGTGGGTGGACATCTTTCCCAAGAAACTGGGGCCTCCTGGCCCTCCAGTCGACATCGGGCCCAGGCAGCCTAAAAGGTGAGTGTGGGTGCACATCCCAATCTCTGCTCCTCCGGGCAGCCTTCCCAGGGGCGGGGCACCGGTGTTCTCAGTACTGAGCAGCTGGCATGCTTTCCTCTGCCGGGAGTCCTGGGGGCTTCCTTCCCGAGTCCCTCCAGGCAGCGTTGAGTGTGGCAGAGGGCAGCCACCCATGCCTCTCTCCCTTACAAGGCTGCTCTGGGGCGTGAGTCCTTGGCAAAGCCTCAGAGTGCTGTGGCCGCAGGTATGAGCTGCGCTGCATCATCTGGAAAACTGCCCACGTGGACCTGAAGGACGTCAATCTGAGTAACGAGAAGATGAGCGACATCTACATCAAAGGGTGAGGCAGAGGAGCAGGGCTCCAGGAGACGTCCGTGTCCCCAGTTCTAGCTTTCCTGTGGGTCCTCTTCGTCCTGGGGTGACATCTCTCCACTTCCACTGCACCTGGCATCTGCTGTGCAGCCCTTCCCACAGAGCTCTGGCTCAGGGATGGGGACAGTGCACACGAACGCCAGGTGAGAGGACTCTGACCCCAGGTGGTTATTCGGGCTAGAGAAGGATATGCAGAAGACAGATGTCCACTACCAATCCCTGACTGGGGAGGGCAGCTTCAACTGGCGGTTCATCTTCACCTTGGACTACCTGGCAGCCGAGCAAATGTGCGTCCTAAGCAAGAAGGTAACAAACACGAAGGTGGGCTTCTCTTCCTACCCCTTCCTTCGGAGACTTGTGGCTGCACCAGGATGCTTGGAATGAGGCCTCAGGCAGAAGCCCTCTTCCTTGACAGTCCATCATGCTGGGTAGTGGGCTCCTAAGACAGCCCAGGGGACTGTCCCCAGAGGGGCAGTAAGCCCTCCTCTGCCATCCTTCAGGATTTCATTTGGAGCCTGGACCCCACAGTGATGAAGTTTCCGGCTCGGCTCATCATCCAGGTCTGGGACAATGATCTCTTCCCCACTGATGACTTCCTAGGTGAGATCCTGGCTCAGGGCCTGTAACCTCAGGACAGGGAACTCTTCTTGCTGATGGCATTTCTCTGGGCTCAGGGGTCCTGGAGCTGGATCTGTCTGACATGCCCTACCCGGCCAAGCATGCAGAGCTGTGCTCCATCAGGATGATGGATGCTGACCCCACGTGGCCCCGCTTTCTCCAGCACAAGCACTTCTCCCTCTTTAAGAAAAGGACCGTAACTGGCTGGTGGCCTTGCCAGGTCCTCGAGGATGGCAGATGGCGCTTGTCGGTAGGAGCTGGGGAAGGTGTCTCCTGCACAAGGCTGCTGTGCCCGTCACTTGGCTCTCACAGACCCCTGGAGCCTTACCTAACTCCCTTTTCCTTTGTGCGTCCTGGGAAGAGGCTCTGGCTACTAGAACTCGGCCTCCCACCCCCTGTGGTGTTTCTAGGGTAAAGTGAAGATGACGCTGGAGATTCTATCAGAGAAGGAAGCCTTAATCAGGCCAGCAGGACGTGGCCAGTCAGAACCCAACCAATACCCTACACTTCACCCTCCCCTGTAAGGGTCCTTCTCCATACACCTGAGCTGCCGGGCCTGGCACTCTATCTGGGGTAGTGGCCAATAGGCCTACAAGTGGAGGGGTAATTACTTCCCACCATCTCAGCTCAATGCTGTCACAATGGGGAGAGAACAGCCATGGAGGGTGGGGGGCGGGAGATGAGGGATGGGGCAGAGTTGCTTTTAAAAAAGAAAGGACCGCCCTGGCCGGTTTGGCTCAGCGGTTAGAGCGTCGACCTGCGGCCCTGAGAGACCCGGGTTCGGTTCCCGCTAAGGGCATATACCTCGGTTGCAGTTTGTCCCCGGCCCTGGTCGGTCGTGAGGGTGGCAGCCACTCGATGTGTTCCTTTCACATCGATGTTTCTCTCTCTCTCTCCCTCCCACTCTACCTGAACAACAACAACAACAAAAAAACGGGAAAATGTCCTCGGGAGAGGATAAAAAAATAAAATAAAATAAATAAAAATAAAAATAAAAAAGAAAGGACCTAAAGGTCTCCTCTGCCCTCCATTCTCTGACATCAACTTTGCTCTTGGACAGGCGCACCAACACCTTGATGTCATGGTTTCAGTCACCTGTTAAAACCTTCTGCCATGTTTTCTGGAAACGCTACCGCTTTAAAATCCTAATCATCTTGACCATATCGATTGTCGGGCTTATGCTGTTCAGCTTCATATATTCAGCTCCAGTGAGTGACGACCATGGGGACCATGACAAAGGCACTGCTTGCTCTTGGGCTGCCTCTGGAGAAAGAGCTTTCTGGTGGCTATCTGTGGCTGACTGTTTCCTGTTCTCTCCAGAGCTATTTGGCCATGAGCTGGATCAAACCTGAGCTTCGGCTGAACATGCCTATCAACATGGTCAGAAACACCATCGATTCACTGAACACCGGCAAAGCCAGCTCTTCCACCCTCACCGCCCAGCGTTCTAACCTAGACTCTGCATCAGGCCATCCGCTGCAACTCCTGCAGAGACCCACGGATCACCTGTGAGATCCTCCCAGAACCTCCAGCCCCACAAGGCTATGCCCACGTTTGCCTGGCTCTTCTCTGCCCACTGTCAGCTCTACCCCAGAGCTTCCTGCCAATTCCTTGTTTCTATCTTATAGGACAGCAAGGGGCTAGGGACATTCTGGCCATTCTGTTCAGAAACCACTTCCAGCAAGGAAGGCAAAGTTGTCATTTTCCACTGAAATAAACAAGCTTTGTAACAAAGAGCCGCTTTGTGATTTGGAGGGTTGAAGACAACATGAAAGGCTGAAATGCCTGCCTTTCAGACGAGACGCACAAGGACAGGATGCAGCGTCACCTCTCCACCCTACCTCCAGTCTTCAGTCTCCTCCACTCTAAGGCTCTGAAGTCACAAGACAGCAGAGGGAAGGGGACTAGGCCGGGAACCAGCTCCCTGCGGTAAGCAGTTTGGAGCCACCCCATGGACCAGGCACCGCCCTCCTCTAGGACACACCTGGGATCCCAGTGCCCCCATTTACTCCTGTGACAAAATACGAGAGCCAGGACTGAACACACCGTGTTTGCTCAGCCGGCTTCCTTGTACCACACACCTCTGAGGCAGACCCGGCTGGGCAGGGACTGCATTTCATGTCTTCCTGTCCTTTTTTTTATCCTCAACTGAGGACATTTTTCCATTTTTTGTTCAGATAGAGTAAGAGGAAGAAGAAGAGAGAGAGAGAAAAACATCGACGTGAAAGGGACATCAAGTGGTCACCACCCACACAACCCAACCAGGGCCAGGGACGAACTGCAACCGAGGCACATGCCCTTAGCAGGAACTGAACCTGGGTCTCTTCGGACCGCAGGCTGATGCTCTAACCACTTAGCAAACCAGCCAGGGCTTCTTGTCCTCTTTAAAAAGCCTCACAGTCCACCCTGGCCAGTTTTGCTCAGTAGTTAGAGCACTGACCCGCAGACCAGAGAGTCTCGGGTTTGATTCTGGTCAAGGGCCTGTACTCGGTTGTGGTTCAGTCCCTGGCCTGGTCAGAGTCACACAGGAGGCAACAAGTCGATGTGTCTTTCACATCGATGTTTCTCTCTCTTTCTCTCCCTCCTATTCTGTCTGAAAAATAAATGGAAAAATATCCTCAGGTGAGGATTAAAAAAAAAGGCCTCAAGGTGCTCATGAGCTGAAATCACACAAACCCACAAGTTCGAGCTGTCACTCACACGCCTCCCTCACGAGAAGACCCCTCCTCTTGCACCACTGCCTAAGTCATCTCTGGAGCCCACCTAGGTCCTCCCATCACAGGGTCTATCCAATCTCCCCATAAACTCAAACAAGACAAAAGAACTATTTTCTTTTTCAGTTTGACCCGGTCTTAAGGCCAAGCTCTAGAAGGGTTTGTCGTCTGGCACTCTGGAGCTGCCCTGCTGTTGTGGGGAAGGGGTTAGAAGGATCCCATCTTAACCCCATGTGCAGAGGAGTATTACCACCCATGATACTTAATTAGGCACCTGGGAAGGCTATAAGAAAGCCTAAGAGAACAGAGACCCATACCCAGCTATGATGACCCTCCTTCTGGGTTGAGCTGATTTCCCAACGGAGGAGAAGGCAGAGCAAGGACTGACAGGCTCAGCAAAAAGGCCTGAACCCTTCTCCAAACCCACCCCTAGAAGGAAGAACACTGAGTCAGAAGCTTGTGTTTGGTTTCCATCAGCCATTTTATGAATTTCACTTAGGCTACAGAAGGACACAGCTAGGAAAGCTCCGTTCTGGGCCCTCTATTAGCCAGTTTCATCATGGGGCCGACAGATGAGCAGAGCGGTGAGTGACCCTTGTCCAATAAGGCAGTGGAATAAGGGCGGACCCCTGGAGGATGACACTGAGGCTCTATTGCTCAATGACAACAAACCCTTCCAGGCACAGATGATGAGGGCCTACTGACCCCAGATTTGTAAATGAGAACAGCAACTGTTTCTTCTCCATTAAGAAAAAGAAGCCAGATTTCCTCCTGGGGAGTATCCAGGCTGAGGCTGTAAGAAAAGTTCCTTACATTTTGAACACTCAAAGTGGGATTCCAAAGATCATGACAGACACAAAACATGCAGCTAAGCAGGCTCCAGATGGTCCAGAAACATCTCCATGTGGTCAGATCACTTGGCAAATGTTGCTTTTGGTATCAAAACCTAGAGCAAGTCAGTGTCACAGTTAATCCCACCGCATCCATGAGATCTTCCAAGATTCTCTTGACTTGCACACTGACTTCCAGCCAAACAAGACTGAGGGCCTAATTGGGAAGGTCACAAACTTGTTACCAACCAGGATCCACGCTGACAAGCAAAGGCTAGAGCAGCGGGCCGAAGCAGAAAGCCCTCTCCCTGTGGACATCTAATGAGGGTCAGGGCAGCATGTTTGTTCTACAGCCCCAGGCCCAACAGAGAGGCATCAAATGTCTTCTCGAGCTCAGGCTGCATTTGGAGAGGACAAAAAAAGAAGGGAGAGGAAGGCGAGGCAGGGAAGAAATTTCCATCCAGATTTCCAAAAGAGAGCTCCACAGGTGGACAGAGGCTTAGATAAAAAGCAAAAACCAATGAATGGATGGTAGAAAAGTATGAGGAGATACCAGTTTTCCGTTCTTAAACAGAAGCACGAGGGTCCTGAGTCCGACACCAAGGCAGCCTGGGCTAGGAAGTTCTTTTCTGTGATCTTGCATCTAACAGCAGATGCCATCTCCACCCCTCGGAGCTCCCAATGGCCGGACTGCAGGGAAAGGCACATCACAGCAGCATTGCCCTGGGGTGGGTGGGCTTCCTGAACCAGTTAGAAGTCCTCATGGATGACCATGGGAATACCGTGACAGAACACAGTTCCTGACAGCTGCTGGAGAATGGAGAAGACCGCTGGACTGTGTGGTCAGGCCAGCAGCTGCTCCTCCCACACCTCCTGCCACAGGGGTGGGCAGCAGGATGGCTCAGTAGAAACGCTTTCGGCTCTGTTCCTGCCACTTGTTGTAGAGTATGATCCCAATGACAATGGCAAATACGGAAAACACCAGAGAGAAGAAGACGATGAGGAAGAGGGCCAAGCCACTCAGGGGCGGCAGCGGGGCTGTCACTGAGAGAGCAAGAGAGAAGCAAGTCAGGAGCCTACCCCATTGGGGAAGCCCAACCAACCAGCCACTAAGCTCCCAGGTTCTGATGCTCATTTCTAGGAGCCGGAACTCAGACTCTCCCTTTCCAGATGCTTTCATCTGAAAACGAAGCCACCTTCTCCTGCTCATCTGTAACCTGGAGATAAGTGACAAGCAGGTGCCAGTGTTCCATATTCCTCAGGGGAAGGAGAGAGAGGAGATATCCCCCCCCCCCCCCCCAGTACTGCAACCCTTCTCCCATTGCAGGCCATTTCCTAGGGTCCCCATGCTCACTTTCAGGCAGCTTCATGTTGTCCACCGAGGGTAAGAACACATCTCGATGCAGCTTCTCCTCTTCGGGGGTTCTTTCCACAGTCAGCTCAAACAGCTTCAGGGAAACAATGTCATGGTTGTCTAAAGGAAAAAGAACAAGGACTCCTCAAGCCTTTTCAAAATGAGGTATCTTGGCTCAAGCTTCTGATTCCATAGCTAACTAAGAGTGACCTTGAAAAAAATAACTGCAACCTATTTTTTTAAATTATTTTTGTTATAGATGTTTCTCCTTTTTTCCCCATTGACACCCCTCCTCTCGTCCCCAGCTTTGTTGTCCATGTCCATTGGTTATGCATACATGCATATAAGTTCTGTGGTTTATCTCTTCCCTCCTTTCCTCTGAGGACTGTCAGTCTGTACCCTACTTCCACGTCTCTGGGTCTACCACGTTCCTCAGACTGTTATGTTCAATATATTCCAAAAATAAGTGAAATCATGTGATATTTGTCTTTCTCTGCTTGGCTTGTTTCGCTTAGGATAATACTCTCCAGATCCCTCTATGTCATCTCAAAGGATAAGAGACCTTTCTTTCTTTACATCTGCATAGTACTCCATTGTGTACATGTACCACTGCTTTTTTATCCATTCGTTTACTGATGGACACTTGGGCTGTTTCCAGATGTTAGCTATTGTAAATAGTGCTACTATGAACATGGGGGTACATTTATTCTTTCTGATTGGTGTTTCAGGCTTCTTAGGGTATATTCCTAGAAGTGGGATCACTGGGTCAAATGGCAATTCAATTTTTAATTTTTTGAGGTAACACCATATTGTTTTCCACAGTGGTTGCACCAGTCTGCATTGCCACCAGCAGTGTACTAGAGTCCCCTTTTCTCCACACCCTTGCCAACACTTGTTTGATGATTTGTTGATGGCAGCCATTCTGACAGGTGTGAGGTGAGACCTCACTGTTGTTTTAATTTGCATCTCTCTGATGATTAGTGATGTTGAGCATTTCTTCACATGTCTGTTGACCATTTGCATGTCCTGTTTGGAGAGGTGTCTATTTAGTTCCTCTGCCCATTTCTTTTTTTTAAATCCTTACCCGAGGACATTTCTCCATTTTTTGTTCAGACTGAGTGGGAAGGAGAGAATGGGAGAGAGAGAGAAACATTGACGTGAAAGGGACACATCGAATGGCTGCCACCTGCACGACCAACCAGGGCCGGGGACAAACCGCAACCGAGGCACGTGCCCTTAGCGGGAACCGAACCCGGGTCTCTCCGGACTGCAGGCCGACACTCTAACCACTGAGCCAAATTGGCCAGGGCTCTGCCCATTTTTTAATTGGGTTCTTTGTCTTCCTCTTGTTGAGTTGTATGAGCACTCTATATATTTTGGAAATTAACCCCTTATCTGATGTGTATCATTGGCAATTATGCTTTCCCATAGAGTGGGTTCCCTTTCCATTTTGGTGGTTGTTTCTTTTGCTGTGTAGAAGCTTTTTAGTTTGACGAAGTCCCATGTGTTAATTTTTTCCTGTGTTTCTGTTGCCTTAGGTGGGGTATCAGTGAAAATTCTGCTGCGTATAATGTCTGGAATTTTGTTGCCTACATTTTCTTCTAGGATTTTTATGGATTCATGAGTCACATTTAAGTCTTTTATCCATTTTGAGTTTATTCTTGTGTAGGGTGTAAGTTGATGGTCTAGTTTCATTTTTCTGCATGTAGCTGTCCAATTTTCCCAGCACCATTTATTAAAGAGGCTGTCCTTACTCCACTGTATGCTCTTGCCACCTTTGTCAAATATTAATTGAGCATAATGTCTTTGGTCAATTTCCGGGTTCTCTGTTCTGTACCACTGGTCTATATGCCTGTTCTTATGCAACCTCTCTATTTTCTCATTTAAAAATAAGGATAAGGAACAGTATAGTATTCCATACTAAAGGTTTTTATCAACAAGCATGTATTACTTACATGATTTTAAAATTTAGAGATAATACAAGAATGAAATCCCCTATGATACGTAAAACCTTCCAGCACAGCAAGAGGAGACCCTTTGATGGGAACGACAACATGCAGGGCAGGAAAGGGCCTCACGTGGCAGTGCAATGGCTACAAGCAGGGCACAGCGTCCGGCATGAAACACACTTCCCTTCTGGACTGGGCCTAACGCTTTGCAGCTCCTTGTAACTCTGACCCTGTCTCTTACTAACAATTACCCGAGAAAGGCTCAAAGAATTAGGGACTTGCCCTGGCTGGTTTTGCTCAATGGTTAGAGCATCGGCCTGCAGTCCAGAGAGACCCGGGTTCGGTTCCCGCTAAGGGCATGTACTGCAGTTTCAGTTTGTCCCCGGCCCTGGTTGGGTCCTGCGAGTGGCAGCCACTCGATGTGTCCCTTTCACATCGATGTTTTTCTCTCTTCCTCTCTCTCCCTCCCACTCTATCTGAACAAAAAATGAAAAAATGTCCTCGGGTGAGGATAAAAAAAAAAAAGAATTAGGGACTCAATTTCTCTCTCTCTCTTTAAAGTATCATTATAAATTCATCAATTCAAACACATCTGACATGTTTCAATACACTGAGGTTGTACATCTTATTGATGTTCAACTCCACCCATTTTGGTCCAGTGGGAGCCTATTCAAGTTGGCTTCTGAGACTTTTTATATGAACCCAGAAGAGTTTAAAGATTTTTTTTCATTTTATTGATTTTTAAACAGAGAGGGATAGAGAGAAACATGGATGTGAGAATACACCCCCTACTGTGAATCAAGCCCACAACCTGGGCATGTGCCCTGACTGGAAATTGAACCGGCAACCTTTTGGTGCATGGGATATTGTCCAAACAACTGAGCCACACCGACCAGGGTCCAGAAGATTCTGGTGTCTTCCTTTTTTTTTTAATCCTCACCCAAGGACATTTTTCTATTTTTTGTTCAGATAGAGGAGAAGGGAGAGAGAAGAGAGAGAGAGAGAGAGAGAGAGAGAGAGAGAGAGAAACATCGATGTGAAAGGGATACACTGAGTGGCTGCCACCCACACAACCCAACCAGGGCCAGGGCCAAACTGCAACCAAGGTACATGCCCTTAGCGGGAACCGAACCCAGGTCTCTCTGGACCGTAGGTTGATGCTCTAACTGCTGAGCCAAACCGGCCAGGGCTTCCTTGCTTTTTTGAGAAGTTCCCACTTGTACACTTCTTGTCATAGATCTGCCAGTTCTCCAAGAAGCTCCTGCTCCTCTCAGTGGAGACTGGGATTGAGAGACCACAAATCTCGCCCTGGCCGATTTGGCTCAGCGGTTGGAGTGTTGGCCTTCAGACCAGAGAGTCCCAGGTTTGGTTCCCGCTAGGGGCATGTACCAAAAAAAAAAAAAAGAGACCACAAATCTGAATGCCAGGGAGCTCATGGGTACTTGGTTATTTATCAGGGACTGGACTTCTTGCCATTTCTATTACTAGGATGGCATCTACACCTGCATGAACTCAGAATCTTTAGCAGACCCCCTAGATATGAAGAACTGGATTTGCCTTCAATAAGATGTTTTTGCTGTCAGGACAGAATAAAAAGCCAGGGCAATGCTCCTCACAATGTGGGGCACCAAAGGCTGGGACAGCTGGAATGTGTCCCAACTTTCTCAGCCATCTTCAACAATCTACTGCATAACAGTAAGAAGATATTAACAAAAAAGACCTTAAACAAAAGACACACTTTCTATTAAGGGAAATCCCATAGGCAGAGAACAGAGATTTACTAACCTAGGTATTACCACTAAAAACCTAGAGCAAAAGGGGTCCTTAGGATAAACAAAAAATGACTGTATTCTCTTTGGTCAATTCTAAAAGACGGGAACAACTTCCCATTAAAAAGTGCACTGGGCCCGGATCGTGTGGCTCACTAGTTGAGTGTCAACCATGCACCAAGAGATTGCTGGTTCGATTCCTGTTCAGGGCATATTCCCAGGTTGTGGACCTGATCCCCAGTGGGGGGCATGCAGAAAACAGCCAATCGATGTTCTCTCTCATCGATGTTTCTATCTCTCTCTCCCCCTCTCCCTTCCTCTCTCTCTAAAATCAATAAAGAAAAGAATATAAATAAATAAAAAAAGAAAAGTGCACTGGTAAGTTAAGCTAACTGACAGGTCCTAGAAACCCGTACATTCAAAGGAAAATTCAAAGTAGACAAGGACACCTCTTTTCATTCGAGTCATAACAAGATTACATAGCAAAAACCTAAAGCTTGTGCCTCCTGTGCCTGTGCCAAAGTGGGCTCTGTCCCACAGCTTCCGCATGTTTGCACAGACTTAGACCCCAACTGCCAGAGCAGGGTGAAGGGGGAACGCTGCAAAGGGCACAGAAACTTCTCACAGTGATGGAAACATTCTGTATCTTGACTATGGAGGTGATGACATAGGTGTAAATATTTGTCAAAACTCTTCAAAATATGTACTTCTGTTATATGGAAAGCATACCTCAATAAAGTTGATTTTTAAATTTTTTTAATCCTCACCTAGGGATATTTTTCCATTGATTTTTTAGATAGAGTGGGAGGGAGGGAGGGAAAGAGAGAGAGATATGAGAGAGACACATTGACTTGTTACCTCCTGCACAACCCCGACCATGGCTGGGGATCGAACCCTCAACGCTTTGGTCCATGGGCCGATGCTCTAGCCGCTGAGCCAAAAACTGGCCAAGGCAAAGTTGACTTTTTTCTTTTTTTTTTTCCAAATCTTTATTGTTGGATGTAAAATGTATTACAGATGTTCCACATTTTTCCCCCATTGACCCCCTCCTTCCCACTCCCGCCCCCCTCCCACCTTTTCCCACACTATTGTCTGTGTCCTTTGGTTATGCATATAAGTTCTTTGGTTTATTTCTTCCCACCCCCCCAACCCCTTTCCCTTTGAGGTTTGTCAGTCTAGCAATGAATTTGTGCTTCTTAATCCCTTCACCTTTTTCACCCATTCCCCCAACCCCCCTCCCAACTGGCAACCAACAAAATGTTCTCTGTATCTATGAGAATGTTTGTTCTTCCTGTTCATTTTGTTTGTAGATTCCATTGTCGATAGATAAGTATTCATTGCCATTTTGTTTGTTCATACATTTTATCTTTTTCTTCAAAAAGACCCTTCATCATTTCATACAATAACGGTTTGGTAGTGATGAACTCCTTTAACTTTTTCTTGTCTGGAAAAGTTTTTATATGTCCATCGATTCTAAATGACAGCTTTGCAGGATAGAGTAATCTTGGTTGTAGGTTCTTGCTTTTCATCACTCTCAATATTTCTTGCCACTCCCTTCTGGCCTGCAAAGTTTCTTTTGAGAAATCAGCTGACAGCCTAATGGGAACTCCCTTGTAGGTAACTAGCTGCCTTTCTCTTGCTGCTTTTAAGATTCTCTCTGTCTTGAACCTTTTGCATTTTGATGATGATGTGTCTTGGTGTGGACCTCTTGGGGTTCATCTTGTTTGGGACTCTCTGTGCTTCCTGGACTTGTATGTCTGTTTCCTTCACCAAGTTAGGAAAGTTTTCTGCCAATATTGTTTCAAACAGTTTTCGATTTCTTGTTCTCGCTGTTCTCCTTCTGGCACCCCCAAGATGCGAATGTTGGCACGCTTGAAGTTGTCCCAGAGGCTCCTTACACTATCCTCATTTTTTTGGATTCTTTTTTATTTTTGCTGTTCTGATTGGGCATTTTTTGCTTCCTTATATTCCAAATTGATGGTTTGCTCCTTGGATTTACGTACTCTATTATTGAAGCTGTGTAAATTATTCTTTATTTCAGTTAATGCCTCCTTCAATTCTCACTGTGTATTCTAACTGGTCCTTTTTTATGCTCTTGAGGCCCTTCCTAAGTTCACTGAGGTTCTCACTAAGTTCATTGAGCATCCTTATAAGCAGTATTTTGAACTCAGTATCTGTTAGGTTGCTTATCTCCATTTCGCTTAGTTCTTTTATTGGGGTTTTGTTCTGTTCTGTTCTTTCATTTGGGACCTGTTTCTTTGTCTCCTCATTTTGGCTGCCTCCCTGTGTTTGTTTCAGTGTATTACTTAATGAGAGGTATGGGGCTCACTGAGACCAGATGCTGCTCGTTTGAAAGAATTTAGGAAAAACCTGAAGCAGGACACAAGACAGGCCAATCCTATGGTGAAGCAACTGGCAACAGCTTGGGTGGGCTTGAAAGTTGGGTGGGGCAGGGCCTCAGGGAGTCACCAGGGCGGGGCTACCAGTGTGAGCCAGGTTGCTGGAGTCCCAGATATGGCGACTGTCTGCCGCCCCCAGGAAGGGCTCACCAAAGGAACACATTTGTCCCCAAGAAAGCCCCCTCTCCAGCCCTCGCTCCAGTGCCAAACAGCTCGGTTCTTCCCTGTATGACTCTGGTACCCCTCAAGCTGCCTCCCCTCCAAGCTTAGAGGGAGAGAGTCCGATAAGTCCGTGCGCGGGCCCTTTAGGGAGCTGCCTGGGGCTCCAGCCGCTTCAGCCTCCCTGAGCCTCAGTTCCCGCTGGTTTTTCCAGCCAGAAGTTATGGGGATTCTCTTCCTGGCACTGGAACCCTGAGCGGGGCACCTGGTGTGGGATGGGGATCCCTCAGTCCTCAGGAAGGACCTTCCCAGCCGAGGGAGCCTCCTTATTTTTATCCGCCACACGTGGGTGTGGGACCGGCCCGTCGCTGCAGCGCTCCTTGCGCCTCCGCCCCTCCTACCAGTCTCATGTGGCTGCTGCTTTAATTCCGTAGCTGTAGGACTTCCATTCAGCTTGATTTCAGGCGGTTTTGAATGATGGTTGTTCTGTAGTTTAGTTGTAACTTTGATGTGGTTGTGGGAGGATGCAATACTGCGTTTACCTACACTGCCATCTTGACCGGAAGTCTGACTTTTTTTTTAATGTCAGGATCTTAAAAATCAGATTTCATTTTAAAAATTTGTATTCCCAGTAGACCCAGACACATGGAAGTAGGGCACAGACTGACATCCCTCAGAAGAGGGGATGGGGGGTGAGGGGGTGGGAAGAGATAAACCACAGAACTTATATGCATGTATGCATGACCAATGGACATGGACAACTAAGCCGGGGAAAGGGTGGAGGGGGGGTGGGGTGGGGGGTGCCAATGGGGTAAAAAGGTAAAATATCTGTAACAAAAAAATAAATAAAAATTCATAAAAAGAAAAATAAAAATTTGTATTCCCAGCTTCTCTTAAGAAACTGAAGGCATGGCCTTACTGAGCCCACATTTTCTCTTGGTCACAATGGGCTGGAACCGAGCAGCTGCTGCCCATTTGTTTTTTTGCTAGAATAAAATTCTATTTCATATTAGCTTTATTCATAATAAATTATGTCAAAAACCCCCAGAGTTCATTTCTTTACCTCTCCTCAAAAGACATCATGAGGGGGGCTGACGCCAGTGGCAAGAATGAACAAATCAAGAGAAGCCACATGGGGACCAAGAGAAAGAGAGTCCAAGGGACAGAAAAGAGCAGGCACCGTCAGTGGCCACATCTGTCATGGCTAGCCAGACCGTCAGGGTAAATGTCCAAAAGGGCTGAAGAGAGGACAGAGCCAGGGCTGAGAGCAGAGTGCTATGCAGTCAGGGACACAGAAGTCACTCTCACGAGGACAGTGCTAACGGCACTGTGGAGACGCAGTCCAGGGCAGCATGCTCAGAGCGGGATGGCTGAAAACAGGAGCATCTCTCCCCCCAACACTCACAAGTCTAAGCACAAAGGAGGACCTGGGGCCATCAGAGAGGGACAGAGAAGTCTTGTTAAGAATTGGAACTGAGCACATAACGGGAGGAGAGAGGAAGCGGAATAGAAAGGTGGTATTAGAAACAGAAAAGTGTGGAACTCAAAACACAGGCTGGAGAGCTGGCTCCATGAAGAGGCAAATACTACCTTCCCTCCAAGCATCTCCTGGGACAGCTGTCTGAGGACAACCTAAGCCTGGGGTCTTAAGGAATCTGGGTACGAGAATGCAGGAAGAGAAGCACTCCCAAGGTACCTGCTTCCCAGAGTTCTGCTTGTCCTCTCTGAGAAGCCTCGCCAAGCCTGGCCACCGAGGCGTGACCTCAGTCAGGGCAAGTAAGAAGTGCAGTGGCAGTACCTGAGAGATCCCCAGTGATAGAGGAGGTGCCAAAGTAGTAGCCCCGGGGCAGGCGGACCCCAGGCACCTCAATGCAGTCCCTCCACTCGTGCTTGCCATCAATGTCCATCATTACCTAGAATAAAAAGAAGAAAGAAATCAGGGCCAGGCCATGGAAGCAAGAGCCAAACTGCCCATACTGCCAACTGGTCCAGAACAGGGACTCACCGTCAAATGCCTCTTGACATATCGAATCACAAGGAAGGTGTCATAATGGAGATTTCGGACAATGGCCGTACAGCCCCCCAGCTCTGTCGGCCGCCCATCCCGCTCATGATCATAGCTGAGGGAGCCATTGTTCACCATGGCTGAGATGTAGGGGAACACCCGCTAGGAAAGCAGGGAAGGAAAAGCAGAGGATAGTAAAGAATTACTCTCAGGAACGCCTGGGCAAGCAGCAACGGCACCTGTGCATATACCAACTGAGCACCTGTAGTGACCAGACAACAGCTCAGCCACATGGCTCACAACTCGCTAGAACCCAGACTCAAAGGATGCAGCCCAGGAAGTGACTAAGCTTGTCCTCAGGAGTCCTCCTCACTACAAACCTGGGTGGGTCTAAAATGGCCCCTCTAAGGCTCAAGCCTGGCTCTAGTCTCCTCCCACAGATCACCATTCTGCACCGTTCTGCCACAGACTAGTGCCTTTCTTTTTATGTACATCTACCTATCTAGCCAACTGCCATGTAAACTTCTTTAGGAAAAAATAATTTATTATGCTTCTTTGCATGTCTCCACCTTAGCCCATCCCTTCTCCCCCAGAGTAAATGTTTTGTACACACAGGTATTCTGAAAATACCTGTTAGATCAGGGAGATTTTTCCATTCAGAATAGCTCCTTTCAAATTCTGAAACCCTATGCGCACGTAATGCTAAATGGAGTAGGGCTCAGAAAGAGCACTTCCAGAACCAGGCTGCTGGATGGTGTTCTCTAGCCACGATGACTATTTTAGCCAAAAACCCTCCCAGCCTAGTCAAGCGTCAGCTGCACACTTCTCCCAATGACATACAGGGCAAGGTTCTCCCACTGCACGCTTCCCCAGATCCCGCCCATTTCCCACCTACTTCAGAGGCCCTCTCTTTTCATAGAGTTGTAGGAGCAAACTCCTCCTTGGAAATGATGAGCTGACCATTCCAGAGCAAGCCCAGTGCTGGGCAGTGCAGATGAAAGGAGAGGAGCCATGACGTGTGCCACTCGGTGAGCTCCACACTATCCCCAACAGTGAACATGCAAGGTGAAGACGCACTCAAAATCAGAGACTGGTGACTCTTAAGACAACAGCCACGTGGATTCTAAATAGCAGCAAAGGTTGGATGAACACAGGGAATAAAGGATGGCCACGGTGGATCAAGAATTGAGTACCTGGGCTCCTGGAGAATATCGTCTCTTCTGGGCCTGAGAGGGTCCAACGGGTTTAAAGACAAAAGAAAGCACAAAAGATAGGAGACCAAGTCAGAAAGCAGCAGCCATGGAAGAGCTAAGACCCAGCTGTGAATGATAAACAAACCAAGCTCAATCCCCAAACAGAAATCTGGGGCCTAGGGAGGGCATTCAAGTCCTTATGTACCTCAAAATTATAGGCAAAACTATATGCACAGGTGCTTGTACATTTTCTGAGGAGAGGAGGTATTACTACAACCAGATCCTCAAAAAGGTCGTCTGGGAAGACCTCTCTCAGGTCCTGAAGTTTTCAGAAGCTTTATAAAACACCCAGCACTGCACCATCCAAGCAGGCCTTACTTAGTCTCTGAGAGACGGAAGGCCAGGCCACTAGTTTGTACTTAGACTGTAGTATTTCTATAGGAAGGGGAGAGACAGGAGTAATAAACAGGGCTAAGTTCTTCCAAATTCAAGATGTGCTTTACTCCTCAGGATCTCAGAATATGGCTAGTGCCCAGAAGACAAAAAGACCTGCACTTGAGAGGTTGTGAAATTAACACTAATCCAAAGGGATCACTTACCCTCTAGTTGAGCCTATGGACATCTATCTCCAAATGACTGTTGTCACTCTAACTACAACATGTGGGCAAGAAAAACTCCGTGGAAGTGCTGAAAATGACAGATGGCTCAAGGATAGTTTGTTTTGCTCCAGAAAACTGCTATACTTCTAGCAACATGAGATATCTACACAGGCTCCATTCAGCCCTGCCCTACGGGAAGGGGGCGGGAGCGTGTAGAGCCCAAAGCATTCCTTCCTCTACGTTTCCTGAGCACCTATTACCAGCCAGGCACTGTTCCAGATGCTTAGAATTCAATGGAAACAACATAGACAGGTATCTGCTCTCATGGAGCTGACAATAAAGTGGAAGAGACGAATGATAACAGAATTTCAGACAATGATCAACACTACGATGAAAACAGAAGTGATACAATAGAAACTGATAAGGAGACAACATCTGAGCCGAGACCCAGGTAGTCAGAGGGAGTCCCCCAAAAGCATATACATGGACTAGAAGACACGGGTGTCTGAAACTCAGCTAATGAGGAAGAGGCTAGTGTGAGTTGAGGCAGGAGCCAGATCCTACAGCTAAGGAGTTCAGGGTGTGCTTCAGAGCAGCTCCCGGCTATTTTCCTCTCAGGCCGCGGGTGGAGGGCTTACAGGATGACGAGAGATGAAATAAACCAGTGGATGGTCAAACTGCCAAAATCTACTCTACAATTTTCAACTAGCGTGCTGTAAGAATATTTGAAACATGATTGAAACATACTTGACTATTTAGTCAGGGGCACTGACCCCAAATAAAAGAATGAGAACAGCCCCGGTCAGTTTGGCTCAGCGGTTAGAGTGTCGGCCTGCGGTCCAGAGAGACCGGGTTCGGTTCCCACTAAGGGCATGTACCTCGGTTGCAGTTTGTCCCTGGCCCTGGTTGGGTCGTGCAGGAGGGAGCCACTCGACGTGTCCCTTTCACGTCGATGTTTCTCTCTTTCTCTTCCTCTCTCCCCCTCCCACTCTACTATCTGAACAAAAAACGAAAAAATGTCCTCGGGTAAGGATAAAAAAATAAATAAAAAGAGAAGAGCCAACACAATAGCCATCCAATGTGAACGAATCAGAATTACATCTATTTTTGGTCAGTTCAGCAAAAAATATATTTTATGGTGTGCCGCAGAATGTTAGTAGTTTGTGTGTGCCCTGAGATGAAGAAGGTTGAAAGCTGCTGTTCTAGAACAAGGGGTTTGTGAGTATATCATCAAATACTTTACAGTAATGGTATTGACAAGAAAGCTCATAACTTCAGTAAACAGGATCCTAAGACTTGCTTCATTTACCAACTCAAGAGAGTGCCTAGGAGAACCATCTTCAGCTCCAGGGGGCCGTACTCATCCCCAGGCTGGTGAGGCACCCAGTTATCCAGCAGAGGTAACCTGGGCCACAGGCTCGCCTGGGGGAGCCTTCAGCTGCTCATATAAGTATGTCCTTCAGAGTCCCATTCAGGAAGTCTAGAGCAGGGAACAGGTTTATTTTTAAAAAGCACCACAGGCCCTGGCCAGTTTGGCTCAGTGGTTAGAGCGTTGACCTACGGTCCAGAGGCCCAGGTTCGGTTCCCGCTCAGGGCACATACCTCGGTTGCAGTTTGTCCCCAGTCCTGATTGGGTCATGCAGGTGGCAACCACTTAATATGTCCCTTTCACATCGATGTTTCTCTCTCTCTTCCTCTGTCTCCCTCCCACTCTATCTGAACAAAAATTGGAAAAATGTCCTCAGATGAGAATAAAAATAAATTAAATTAAATTTTTAAAAAAAGCACAACAGACAGGTGTGATGTGTAGCCAAATTTAAGAAACACTGCACTAGCCCTGATTAGTTTGGCTTAGCGGTTAGAGTGTCAGCCCTCAGACCAAAGAATTGTGGGTTCAATTCCAGTCAAGCGCATATACCTCAGTTGTGGTTCGGTCAGCAGCCCTGGTTGGGGTAGTGCGGGAGGCAACCAATCAATATCTCTCTCTCTCTCCCCCCCCTCCTCACACTCTATCTGAAGATAAATGGGAAAATATCCTTGGGTGAGGATTAAAGAAAAAAGAAACAATGCAGCAGACAGAGCCCCACAGCTTTAGAGCTGAAATCTGTCTCCTTCCACGCATGACTTGGCCTCCTACTCTGCCCCTCACAGCAGTAATTATTTAAGTGCATCTTCTTTTCCACGCCGTCAGGAGTCCGTGAAGCACCTCGCGGGTACCATTAATATCACACAGCAGCAATCTCCTTTCCTTGGAAGGCAGCCCATATATAGCTAGAACTGGAATACTGAAGAATTACACTGACTTGCTGGGTGAGAGGCGGCAGTTTTCATTACTAATTCGAGAGTCACCAAAAATGAGGAATTCCTGCCTATTGTGCAAATAGCTGTCTGTAGGATGGAGAAATGCTTTCACGTTTTTTGTTTTTGTTTTTAATCCTCACCGGAGATAGAGTGGGAGGGAGAGAGAGAAACATCAATGTGAGAACAACACATCGGCTGGTTGCCTTCTGCATGACCCTGATCAGGGTCAGGGATGAACTGCAACTAAGGTACATGCCCTTGGCCGGAAATGAACCCGCGCCTCATTGGTCTGGGGACCCAGGCTCCACCGCTGGGCCAAACTGGCCAGAGCCTGCTTTCACATTTTGTACTGCAAGGCCACTTTCTTAAAAAGAGCCCTCCATGGCCTGGCCGGTGTGGCTCAGTGGTTGAGCACTGACCCATGCACCAAGGTTGCCGGTTTGATTCCCAGTCAGGGCACATGCCCAGGTTGTGGGCCAGCTCCCCAGTGGGGGGTACGCATTGATATTTCTAGCTCTCTCTCTCTTTCTTCCTTCTTCTCTAACTCAATAAAGAAAAGAAAAAAAAATTTTTTTAAAGGCTCTCTACATATAATTGTACCTTTAGCATATCTTGATTAAAAGGAGACCTATGAACTTGTGGATTTACGAACCCTGTGCTACAATTCTCCAGGTCTGAAGCGCATGAGCTGTGAACCACTGAACAGAAAAGAGCAAACACGGCCTCTGTCAGGGAGAGCTGGGTCCTAACTGTGATCATGCCACTCCTGACTGCATAACCTTGGGTGACCTCTACCCTCTCTAGGATTCTGTCTCCTCACTGGAAGCAGGGAGAATGACACACAGCTCACAGGGTTAATTAGGAAGATCAAATGAGAATGTGAAGCATTTGGTATGGTGTCTGGCATTCAGGAATCGATAAATGTTCATTTAATCCATGACTGAATTAATGAATTTCTAAATAGAAATACTGTTCACAGGGACTCGTATATAAGCACAATGCTAAACATACATTATTTATTTATTTATTTATTGATATTTTGTTCAGATAGAGTGGGAGGGAGAGAGAGAGAGAGAGAAACATCGATGTGAAAGGGACACATCGAGTGGGTGCCACCCACACGACCCAACCAGGGCCGGGGACAAACTGCAACCGAGGCACGTGCCCTTAGCGGGAACCAAACCCGGGTCTCTCCGGACCGCAAGCTGATGCTCTAACCGCTGAGCCAAACTGGCCAGGGCTAAACATACATCATTTAGAATAGTAATTCCTAGACCACTGGCTTGTCGTAGACCAGTAAATCTCCAAAAATATTTTGGGGGTTCACAGGTTTACCTTTTTTGGTTTTCTGACCTACTAAATATGTTAAAATACAATAACGACAAAACAAGCAACCATCTTTATAAACATTCAATTCTTTATAAGCATTTTTTAAGAGAACATTTTAATACCAAAGAAAGAAAGAACTAGCATTTATCAAGTCACTTCACTGTTCTTACTCTCAGAACAGTGCAACTGTCACCAACTGGAGCTCATGAACTTGGGAGCACTTGGGAGCCACTCTATAGGGCAGTTTTTCCAATGAAACCATCCTGCACCTGAGTAGGCTGGCCACGTTTAGTCTCTGAACCTAGGCAGATATGAAGAAAAACAGGGTAGGAGAGAACAGAGCCACAGTGGCTACTGCCAAGATATCTGCAGAATGTCCCTTGTGAATGTCATTTAGTTGTAAGAATAGCTAGCATTTTCTGAGAGCTTACTCTATGCCAAGTACTGTATCAGTAATGAACACGTGTGCATTCCTTTAATCATCACAACCCATAGGGTTATAGCATTGGTATTCCCATTTCACAGGTAAGAAAACTTGTTTAAGAGAACACAGGTATCACCTGGCCAGTGTGGCTCAGTGGAATGAGAGGTTCAATTTGATTCCAAGTCAGGGAACATGCCTAGGTTGCGGGCTCGATCCCCAGTGGGGGGTGTGCAGGAGGCAGCCAATTGATGTTTCTCTCACACTGATGATTCTCTCTCTCTCACTTCCTCTCTCTAAATAACCAATACAGACATATTAAAAAACAAACAAACAAACAAAAAAAAAAACGCAGCAAAAGAAACAACCATCAAAATGGAAAG